GAGGGCGGGCACAAACCGGCGTGAGTAGTCTTCTTGGTTCTTTCGGTAAAGTCATAAAACATAATAAAATAATAATTATGTTTTATTTTTATTATTTTATTACTTCCCTTCTGTTTTATTTTTATTATTTTATTACTTCCCTTCTACGTGACTTTACCGAAAGAACCAAGAAGATGAATCCCTGCAGTCACGAAAGCTTTAAATCGAAATTTCGGCGTGAGTAGGTTAAACGTTGAGTTTTATAAGGGCACCACGGGGTGACCAGCCCCTCCCCACCCAGCCCCACCCCTCCCAACCCCCACCCAGTCCCACCCTCCCCACCCAGCCCCTCCCCACCCTCTCCACTCAGCCCCTCCCCACCCTCCCCTCTCCACCCAGCCCCACCCCTCCCATTTTTGGATGCACGACGGACGGACACAATCATCCCCTGTGGGCTGGTGGAACCAGGAGGTTCCTACCAGTATAATATCTTGTATCTCTCACAATCACATTGTGTTTCTCACAATCGCATTGCGTCTCTCACAATCGCATTGCATCTCTCACGATCGCATTGCATCTCTCACAATCGCATTGCATCTCTCACAATCACTGAGGAATCACAGACGAGCTGGAATGCAGCAGCATTCAGGCGTTGAGCCGGTGCTACCAACAATTTCCCACGCTCCGCGGTCCTATACATATCAAGATGCATTCAGCGAATTAATGGGGTTTTTTTTAATTACAACACACGTGGGAGCAAATCACAGTACCGGGAGGCAACCCACGCGTGCGAAGGGACAACCAACACCGTATTCTCCCTTCTCAAATAAAAAAAATTGTGTAAGTTTCGTATCCCATACAGACGCGGCAGGATGATATTCGTCTGCACTTTGCTGTGCCGCCTTCTCCCAGCGAACCATGCACGGGTTCGAGGCTCATCGTCAACGACCACGGGAACGCAGCGAGTGTCGCAACATTGTGCGCGGCGATCCGCCGACCCTCGCCGCTGCCTCCACGCAGCCCCTGGATCACTGACCACGTGCATTGTGGGTCACAGTTGCCATGGCAATTGTGAATTTGAATAAAACAGGTCCCTGCGGGGTGGGCTGGTAGGAACGAATAACCAAAGAATATAAACATAATGTATTATTACACTTGTTTAGCCAGGAAAGCCTCACTGAGTCTAAAGGTTTTTGTAGGGTCCTGCCAAGTGTTTGCAGTAGGGGCGATGTTGCTACACCTAATCGGACATCGGACGGACGGACGATATAATCTATTGTAGGCTGATTCACTTCGTTCCTACCAGTATAATGTTTAACTCAACATCTTGGAGATGGCTGTGGAACACATCGGATTACGCGCTTCCTCGATTTCTTCTCCATAAAAACCCCCATGCGTATGGCCGCCGCGGGGCTTTTTTAAGAGAAACGTGCCGTGCCAAAATCGTAGCTGTAAGTGATTATGATGATTGGCAGGGCAATTAGCAAATACACAGGGACATCAACAGCAGGCCGATGCACGCAGTACATCTCCCTCGTGAGTGGAAATTTGAAGACGAGCCACAGGAGTTCGATTGTGGCCATGTATCCCAAACTTTGGAACCATATAGCCAACTGATAGAGACACATATTAGACACGTAGAGACTCGTAGAGATGCATAGAGACGCATAGAGACCCACAGAGATTCGTTAAAGACAATCCACAGTAGTGTGATTGCGGCTATGCAATCCAAACTATGGACCCATCTAGTAAACCCATAGAGACACATTAAACACGTAGAGATTCATCGAGATGCATAGAGACCCACAGAGATTCGTTAAAGACAATCCACGGTAGTGCAATTGCGGCTATGTAATCCAAACTATGGACCCATCTAGTAAAACCCATAGAGACACATTAAACACGTAGAGATTCATCGAGACGCATAGAGACCCACAGAGATTCGTTAAAGACAATCCACGGTAGTGCAATTGCGGCTATGCAATCCAAACTATGGACCCACATAGTAAACCCATAGGAACACCATATACAGATACTCATACCGATACGTAGAGACCCATAGATGACAAGCCACAGTGCAAATTGTGACCTTGCCACCAAAACTATGGATCCATATAGTTAAATCACTGGAGCCGGCAATCCTTCAACGGAGGAGGAATTGAAAAACGACGTAAAATTCTCATTTCCCGAAGGCCCTCTCATCGTGGCCAGCAGCAAACGTCGACGGTGGCATTGAGCGCCTGGACCAGATTGCTGCCACACGCAAGCATAGGACAGCAAACACACGATGTGCAAACATTTATTATTCGGGTGAACGGATTCAAACTCGGAGTTTGTGCTGGTTGCGGTTGGTTCTGACATGACTCTAGGAGCTTCCTCGGCCATCCGTACATCTTGTGCCTGGATATTTCTTTTTTCTCTCAAACGCAAGGTGGCACTGTGGCCTAACACTGCACTGTAGTCGCTTTGTACAGGGTGGTCCAGATACCATGTGACCCCCCCCCCCAATGATTTGACCCCTAACATTGTTTTCCTTTACATATTAGCTTCTGTTTTAAATTAACCCTTTCTTGACAAAAAAAAAATAACTTTTCCAGAATTAAATTCGGGTCACAAGACATCCGGACCATCCTGTACAAAAATGTCAAACTCAGTGTAGCCCATAACAACAGAGACTGAACCCTGAGTTCAAACTCTGCTCCTCCAAAGCAAGTTACGCCACTCAAAATACCCTGTGGATAAAGAAACGTTTGCGAGTGTATGTGCGTATGTGTACGAGTGTATGTATGACTCGTAGTGGTGAGCGCGCTGCGCTACGAACTCGGCGGCCCGAATTCTATTCTGGGCCACGGCCAACACAAGTGAAGATCATCTGCACCGGTCGTGGGTCTCCACTAGCTTGACTCAGCCTTAAACGAAGGACCTGGTGTGGCGTATTAACATCACCACTGGGGAGACAAAGGCGGCCGGGTGTGGTGTTGGCCACTCACCCGTGCCGACCCTTCACAGGTACTGCTCGCGAACAGCACTTGCCCCAGAAATGCTTTAAAGGCTATACGGGAGATACGTGTCTATGAGTACGTGTATCATTTGCAAATTGAACTCCGATGGAATCTGTAGTAAACAAAGTAAACAAAAAATATATGATAGAATAATTGTTCCAACAGCCCATAACGACTGCAACGGGGAGAGGGGGTGGGAAGGGTGAATATTTGTTCGCAAGCAGTAATTTGCTTACGTGGGAGGTGTTTAACGATCATCTGGCGCGTGTAGCGTGGCACGAGTTCAATTTGCATTCCAACAGGGAGCGAGTTTGTAAACGCGGACTTCTCTTCCTCTTCTTCGCTCCCTGTGGAGGATAAGGCCGCAACAAGCCCACGCCATGCCGCAGGGCCTTTAGCAGCTTTCTCTGTTTCACCCCGAGACAGGGCCCAAGGATCTTTAGTTGGCCTTGAAACGCGGACTGGAGTTTGGGAAACCCTGCAGGGTTTAAGGGAAGCCACCTCGCGCCCTACCCAATACAGCTACAGGGCCCTGGAGTGACAAAATACTGAGTTTGTTGGAACCCAAAGCAATCATTCGATGTCATTGTGGAGCGCGTAGATTATTAATTCAACACGCAGACAACGTCTCCGTCCCATGTCCGCCTCTCCACGTGTAAAATAAAAATATTTCTCACAGCACGTGACGTGTGATATGAAGGAGGGCTATTTCCCGAAACGTCGCCTATTATTATGTTCACAATTGTTATTGTTTTTTTGTTTTCATCTTAAGCCCTGAGTGTTCTTGACGAATGTGTCGAGTTTATTGTCATCCTCCAGTGGCGTCTCTATTAGATTTGCCCCGCCCCCCCCCCCGTGACATCGCTATTAAAGTGTGTAGGCGGTGCAACTGCACACGGACTCAGTGAACTCGGAGGGGCCAGGCTCGGTGCTCCGAAACGGGGGGGTGCGGTATGAGACATCGATTGTGACAGGAGGGTTCCACCATAGCATTCATCTCACGAGAGGTCATTATGCCAACACCAACAAAACGCCCAGTCCGCTGTTGGGTGAAGGCAGCGTCTCCTCTGCAATTGTGTGGCTAAGCCTTGCCCCGGCCCCCCGTCACCCCCCCCCCCCCCCACCGCTTTGTGGAATGCGTTTGTCAGCAGCGGGACACGAGAAGGACCGTGTGGGTGGGTGGCTCCATACAGCAAGTCGGGCCACTCAGCATTGGCAGCACGTGTGTGATGTACGAGACAACTGCATACATGGGCAGGGACACCCATTTGACAAGTCATCATCATCATGGATTTTCAGCAGTAGTGGCAGCTTTGGTTAGACCACTGCTGGATGAAGGGTCTCACCGTGTTGCCTGCATCTGCCAATACACCCCCACGTCTGTGCACACGAACCCATTGGGCGATTGGTGGTGATGGGGGGGTGTAAATGACATCACGCTGATCACGGCTAGGGTTTGCCCCGGTGTCATTTGTCAGGATACAATGTCAGTTTTCACAATGTGACGATTATCGCGATATCAAGGTTGGCGGTGGGCACGTGCTCGTGTAAAGCTGCGTGGCCGGGAGTCACATCCATTCCCCCCCCCCCACCCCCGTTTACTCTTGGGAGTGCGACAGGGATGTCCTACGGCACCTGCATTCATTCAATATCCGCTTTGACCACGTAGTTCTAGAAACTTTCCGCCTTTGTCTCCCCAGTGGCGATTTTTTTACGCACCGCACCGGGTGCTCAGTGAGGCTCCCCCAGATACCCACACACGCGCGGACACTTTAATACCCAGGCCCACGCGCGCACGCACGCGGGAGGGATGTAAATTTAGCCTCCCTCGGTGGGAATTCATCTCGGCTCCTGGAGAAGCCGGCATGCGGCTGATGCAGGCTCCCAAAAATACCAGCAGCCATCGCAGAAGGCAGGGTGCCCGTTTGGGGGGGGGGGGCACTAGGGGTGGGCGGTGGGGGGGGGGCATGGGGGGGGGTAAGTAGGAGGGAAGAAGGGGGAGGGAAAGGAGGTGGGGGGAGACCGAGGCGGTCAGGAGCTGTGATCCCACAGCCCAGACACACACAGACACAGGCCGTGTCATTCTCTCTTGCCTAACACAACGAGGAGCAGCCGCAGCAGTCAAGGGCCATCATCTCTCGATAATCTCTCGATAATCTCTCGCACAATCGCTCGAGTGCGCAGACACGGCGTTGGCGAGCGCACGTTCGCGTCCTTTCCTGCGTTGTCTGTGGCTTTGTTGTTGTTGTTGTTGTGTAAACACCCGAGAAGCGCTCGCTTGCACGCCCTGCGAGTGAGCGTTGCGCGCGAGACTCACATGCCGTTTGCGCTCGCCGCGATGATGGACGAGGCGGGAGCCAAGGAGACTGCGATTGGAGTCGAGTCGAGCGAAGACCTCCAGTCCAGCGGCGACGGGTCCCTCGAGGAAACCGTCAAGACGAGGGACCCCAAGAACGTCAACGAACACCTGAAGGTGCGTCTACGTCGTACAAGAAAGATCACCCTCACCCCCCCCCCCCCCTCGTATAGCCTTAACAGACTGTTGGGGAAAGTGCTGTTAGCTAGCACATGCGAAGGCCCGCACGGTATGCTCGGGGTTGGACAGCACCGGGCATGACCAGCGGCGATGTTTACACGCCGCACCAGGTACTCATCAGAGGCTGTCGACCTAAGGGGTGCCAAAGAGACGCATGCATGCGCACATATAAAATACATGCAAATGCACACATACCAATGCATATATACACAAGTGGCCTGTGAAAAGTGTCACGTGCACACGTGTACGTACAGTCTTTTCAGCACATTGTTTTGGGGCAAATGCTGTTAGTAGGCCGGCACGGCACACACGATGAGGTGGGTGGCCAACAGTGGTGATGTTTTTAAAACTGCACCAGGTACTCCAACGGGAGGCCCAGGACTGATTCAGATAATCGCCACTGGTGATGACAGTGACCGGTAAAGTGAACTTGGGTCGTCAGGTTGGCAGCACAGCGCGCTGTCCACTCCGCTACCGCTCCACACACACACGTGAATTCACACGCATATCGATACATACAGACGCATAACACACGCACACACTGGAATTCGTAGAGCTTTGGGTGTCGTCACCTCCAATGCGTGGGTTTTTCTTTTGGGTTCTCCAGTTTTTTTTAAACATGCCAAAAACATTTTAGTGACTGCAGGGATTCATCTTCTTGGTTCTTTCGGTAAAGTCACGTAGAAGGAAAATAATACAATAATAAAAATAAAACATAATAAAATAATAAAAAATAAAACATAATAAAATAATTCTCACGACGTTTCGGCCACAACGCAAGCAGCCGTCTTCAGGTGGAGGCTTGGAGCCTGGGACGTGCCATTCAGACTCTGCCTTCCCGACAGACCTGTTCTCCACCTGAAGACGGCTGCTTGCGTTGTGGCCGAAACGTCGTGAGAATTATTTTATTATGTTTTATTTTCATTATTTTCCTTCTACGTGACTTTACCGAAAGTACCAAGAAGATGCCAAAAACGCTCATGAATTAAATTGGTCAACCAGCGGTAAAGACTCGTGCCTCACAGCAAGAAAGGCCCAGGTTCGATTCCAAGCGACACGGGCGACTACGTGTAGAGTTGGTATGTTTTCCTCCTGCTCTGCATGGGTTTCCTCCGGGTTTGCCAGTTTCCTCCCATCGCAAAAAAAAAACTAAAACCCACCACATACATCCACAATGCTGAAAACTTACCTGCAAACTACTCAATTGGGATTAAACAGAGCAACATCGCTCCCTACTGCGAATACTTGGTAGGACCCTCCTAAACAAAGAGTCCTGAGACCCAGTGAGGCTTTAATAATGAATATCAATATTATCTAGAATCATCATTATTATTATATGGACATGACCTGTAATTTACGAGAAATATAAGTGCAGGCCGGAAAACGAATATGTTTAACAACACTCAAGGATGTGCATTGGATCTAAAAAGAAACTGTCAGTCATCATTACTTATTCCGCAACACCACTAGTGCAACGGAACTGCATTGTGGTCGTTTTATCTGAGCCAACCAATCAATAGGTCGAGAAAAATGTCGACAACCGAGAGAGGGTACTTTGATTGAAACCACTCTACAGACATCAGATGTTTTCAGGTGTTTGCAGTGACTACTAAAAAAAGAAATAAACGAACAAAAATTTAGCGGCCTTTGAGCGGGACGCGTCTCCGCAAGGGGTGATTGCAGGCGGTCGAGACCGACGATGGAGAGGCAGTCAAAGGAGAGAGCACACTCGAGGGAAAGGGCTACGACCACCCAGGGAAATGGAGCCGTGAGACCAGTTTCCACGTGCACGTGCATCTGTGTGGGCCGCACGCAAATGTTGCGAAACTCCTTTGTACATGTGTACTGCGTTGAACTTCTTTCGCACCGTATGTAACCAACCACGCTCATCGGAGGTGATGGGGGGATAACAAACTAGACGCAAAAAGCAATTCTAAAGAGAAATTGTTTAATCTCGATTTAAAAGTGCATTGCTCCAGTGGTTTCGATGGGGTGCCGTACCCTGGCTCGCCAGGGTGCGGCAATACAGCAAATGTGGACTCCACCCGTTAAGCCTGTATGGGATAGGGTGTTGCCCTTTCGCACGCGCGTGTTTATGTAAGCACTCATTAATTAACACCTTAATATAGAGAGGACCAACAAAGCTTGGCAAATTGTTGAGGCCCATTCGCGGCGTCGCTGCTGCGTTGGCAGTTGTGCACAAGCACAATTAACAACAATAACAACAACATATTCGTCAATAACACCGTGGCCTAAAAATAAGATTGATTATAATAATTGATTATAATCAATCTTCGTATAATTATACGAAACGTTTCTGGAAATGACACTTCTTCATACCACATATATAGAGATGGCCAGGAGAGAGAGAGTCGATGATAACAGTTGGAGACTGCATTTTTTTTTACACCATGGGGCCTGATGAGAATTCAGTTTTGGAAATGGGTTTAATGGAAATGGGTTTAATGGAATTGGCCAACCATTGCGGTACAGGACGCTCCCGAGTACAGACTCTTCAGACGTAGCGAGGCTTTCCTGGAAAATCTCACTTCGAGATATTTAACGCAAGGGACCATCGAAACAACTCAATCCCGATGCATCACGCGCGAAGTTGCAGAGCCGTTCACCGAACTCTGTCCTGCAGAAGTAATTCAAACAGCCGCCGTTCTCCTCGGTGGGGTTGGAGGGACGGCAGGGGATGGAGGGTTCGATATAGGAGGCCGGGAGAGGGTTGGAGCGTTGCCCACAGAACGGGTGACGGCTCAGGGACAGGCAGCGCAGGGCGAGAACCCGACACCCGAGATGAATACATCTCGCACACAAGCACGTGTATTTTTAGGGTTTACAGTCTCCCGCCACCGATCCGACAGATGCGCTTTCCTCTTAGTCTTTTATCTTTCCTTTGACGCGTGATCACGGGCTGCCCCCCCCCCCCCCCCATTAAGGAGCTTCCATAGCATCAATGCATCATCCGCATCAACAACAACAGCAGCAGCAACAGCAGCAGCATCGGCAGCCGTGGACTTTCCCCTCGCTGGGTGAAAGCTTCCCCAGCCGTCGCCGTCGCTCGCACGCTCTGGCAAATGACGCGCTCGAAGATAATTCGGCAGAGTGGAGGTCCAGGGATGATTTCATCTACTCCGTCTCCGTTGTGGACGTACTTCTGGCGGGGGGGGGCGGGGGGATTGTTCCTTACTTTGATTGCCACTCCCTCCACCACTGGGCCACGATCCCTTCTCGCGACGTGTTCCTGTCCAAGTAAACATTTGATTTCATTTACTTGATACAGCTGTCGTGACTGTGACGGTTCCACCTGAAGACGGAAGCTTGTGTTGCCTCCGAAACGTCGTGAGAATTATTTTATTGTGTTTTATTTTTATTATTTCATTATTTCCCTTCTAAGTGACTTTACCGAAAGAACCAAGAAGATTTAATTTATCTTGAACATAAAAAAAAACATATCTCTTAACATGCCTGCGTTCTCTATTCTACGCGGCCCTCCCTCCCTGCCTCCGAGTGTAATGGCAAGCGTGGCTCCCCACCGATCACTGAGGTGGATGATGAGCCGGATTATTGTGTGAAGAGGAGCAGGCGTGGTGCATAATCGCTGTGACGATGCCTCCTCCTTCGTATTTGTGAATCGGGGCACATTGAGTCTGCATTACGAGTTCCATGGTACTGTTCTGGGTTGTATAGTGTGTGTATCTATGTGTGTTGAACTTCTATCGCGCCATACATAGCCAACCGTGCTAATCGGAGGTGCGAGGGGAGATCAACAAACTAAACACAAAAAGTAATTCTAAAAAACTGGGGGCCGCCTGCATTTCACACACTGCCTAAATATGTTTAACTTTCCATTTGTGGATTATCATCATCATCAAGATCTGCATCTTCTGAGGCCATGGGTCGTACTCTTAGGTTTTTTTCGGTAAAGTCACGTAGGGAAAAATAAATAATAAAAATAATAATAGAAATAAAATCATAAATCACGACGTTTCGGAGGCAACACAAGTCTCCGTCATCAGGTGTGAGCGTCACAGCTAAATTTACGATCCCACCTGATGACGGAGACTTGTGTTGCCTCCGAAACGTCGTGATTTATTATTTTATTTCTATTATTAATATTATTTGTATTATTATTTTTACCTACGTGACGTTACCGAAAAAACCTAAGAGTATGAATCCTTGCAGTCACGAAAGCTTCAAATCTAGAAGCCATGGTTCGCGTGCGGGTGATGTGGTTCAGGGGTTGTGGTCCATGCGCATTCACGGACAATCTCGGCCGGGGGATCTCCTGCCTCCAGTCGTTTCACGAGGAGTTCGTTCGTGGCTCTCCAATCTTCACCATCAGGGCTGTTGCTTGGAAAGGCGCAGCATTGATTGGGGGCACTTAATGGTCGACGTTTCGGGCAATGGCCCTTCTTCTCCATTGCTGCCTGTAACGTCGCCTGATGGATATACGGTGTGTGTATATGTATATATATACGAGGCAAGGAATACATTTTGTGGTTTCTCGATGGCATAAATAAATTTGGGGTGAAAGGGCACATGTGACCAATACATCTGTCTGATTCTATGGGCACGTTTCACTTTTTTGCCATACCTTTTGGCCGAGAAAAATAAAGTATGGGACATTACTTTCTGGGCGACCCTCGTGTGTACGTATATATACCGTGTGTATACATATACTGTACATACATGCGGCCTCTGATATACAGCGATACGATTTACGACGGGCGCATCCAGGAACGCGTTGCGTCGTAAAAGTGGGGACCGAATGTATTTCGTTTGCAGGCCACACGCAGCGTCGTTGACGTGTGCATGCGTGTGCGTGTTCGTAGAACTTCTTTCGCACCCTACATATCCAACCGTGGCCAATCGGAGCTGTTGAGTGGTTGGTTGTTGTTGTTTTGTTGTTGTTGTTGTTGGCATCGCACGATCCGGTCGCGTGCGGGCGTTGTTAGATCAGCTTCGAGGACGTCATCGCCGAGCCCCGTGACCTGCACAGCTTCGACAAGGTGTGGGTGTGGAGCGACGCACTCTTCGAGGTGGCGCGCATCTGGTCGTACCGCGTCGTCTCGCTCGTCTTCGCAGTGCCCCTCGCCGTCATCTCGGCCCTCGTGATCGCCGTGCTCAGCTGCGTGCACATCTGGTGAGCGAGGGCGCGCGCGTTCTACTTCATTAAATCGACTTTTTTTCATCAATGTTTTCTCCTACAACGGCAGAGTGCAGCGCCACATTAAATACGCACTGCAATGACAATAGTCTAAAGCAGAGCTCTGTGACTTTTTGTGACGCCGTGTGACGAAGGGGGGAGGGGCTGGGTAAAAAATCGTCCAAAATCGCGTGACGTCATATATGGACGGCCCTTACGTTGAAATGATTTAGCACCATACGTAACCAATCGTTGCGGGGGAAGGACAACAAACTAAACACAAAAGGCCGCTTTAAAGAAATGCGTTTGCCAATCTACATTTAAACGTGCATAGCTACCAGAGGCTTCCCAATATCGGAAGGAAGAGAGCGTTCCAGACGGCCGCGGAAGCGCATTTGAAAGCAGCGCCTTGCGGCGACCGTCTTTGTTCGATGGCGAGCCAAAAGGGGTGTGTGGACCGGAGGGCGTGGGACGGATTGGAGTCCCTGTGACTCGCACCCACAACGAAGATGAATCTCGCGAACGATCGCTGGCGCCCGCACTGCCGGGACTCTCTGCTTACTCGGGGAGACCAGTTCGGTTCGCAACTTCGAGTCCTTCCGCCGAAAATTATTTTTGTTTCTGAAAGACGTTTTCTGTTATAACTGAGCCACTTCTTACCAGCCCCTTCCCCCCCAGACCCGCAAACATCATTGATATACCTGCAGACCTTGACTTACGAACACAATTCGTTCCTGGGGCCCGTTCGTAAGTCGAGCTGTTCGTAAGTCGGAACACAGCAATGTACTATGCTTAAATGTCAGTACGATCACTGCTATGCAATGTTACAGCTTAACAAAAAGCATTGTTAAACTCACAAATAAGAATAATTATTGCAATTCGCATGTAACACTTTAGGAAAATACTGTATTGTAAATAAAACAAAATAAAGTAACATACATAGAATATTTTCGGTGTTATCTTTCACGTACCTTGAGTCCTGATGATGGCTTGTTGGTTGGAAGGGGAGCAATGAGTCATCACAAATGCACAACCACACGGGGCACACGCGTACAAAAACAAAGATCCCCCGTATAGCCTTGACAGACTGTAGGGGCAAGTGCTGTTAGCGAGCAGCCACCTATGAAGGCCGGAACCGAGGGGGTGGGTGGCGGCCAACACCACGGCCGACCGCCTTTGTCTCCCCAGTGGCGATGTTTACACACCGCACCAGATACTCATTTAAGGCTGAGTCCACCTAGGGGAGGCCCTGGACCGGTTCAGATAATCGTCACCGGTGTTGGCCGTGAACGGGAATCGAACCCGGGTGGCCAGGTTCATAGCGCAGCGCGCTAACCGCTACACTACCGCTCCCTACACACGCGTACGCACAGACACACACACGAGGAGAGAGATAGACAAAAAGACAAAGATCCCCCGTATAGCCTTGACAGGCTGTAGGGGCAAGTGCTGTTAGCGAGCACCTATGAAGCCCGGAACGGTACTCGAGAGGGTGGATGGCCAACGCCACGCCCGACCGCCTTTGTCTCCCCAGTGGCGTTGTTTACACACCGAACCAGGTACTCATTTGAGGCTGAGTCGACCAAGGAAAGGCCCATGACAAAGACAGACAAACACAGACACACACACACGAGGCACGGCTCTGCATTGTATCAACGCGTAGCTTGCGTTTTCCCTCGGGCAATTCACCTGAGTTGCCTCGTCGCTACGCACGCGGCTGCCTGCACTCCAGCACTGTGCAGGCAGCAGCGAGGGTTGTTGGACCACCACCACACTCGTGGCGTGAAACTCCCCTTCCCGTGGCCGTCGAGGAGTTGCCGGCATTCCCTGCTCCGTGCTTATGGGATTGTGTTTCAGGCCCCTATTCACACGTGCGGGGGTTTTCTCCCGGTGTCCTCCGACACATATACACACTTACTAATCGGCTGAAAACATCGTAATATGTAGAGGACCGCGGAGCTTGGGGTAATTTTTGGTGGCGTCGACTGCTTGGTTGCTGCCTATGCCGCTCGCCTGTGGTTCCTACTCGCGCACCTGAGTCGTTCCCTCTCTCTCTCTCACGTCGAGAGAGCGAGTGCCACATTGTGCAAGCTGAACTTGTTATATTATTATTATTCACTACAAACCAGTGTTCTTCATTTGAAAGACCCGCGGGCCACTGGAGGTCCCTGGTGGCCTTTAGTGCGGCCCCTGACGTTTGCCCCCCTTTTCCCTGATATTACACAAAGAGTGAAAACACCCCCCCCCCCCGACATTACACAAAAAGTGAAAACACCTGCCTCCCCCCCAATCATCATTATTGTGCTGTCAAAAAAATGGTTTCAAATGTGTGGCAGCTCTCACACACCGATGATGACTTCTCGGCGAAAGTGCTCCCCCCCCCCTCCTCCTCCCCCCCCCGTGAAAACAAGTGAAACGCGCTGCTCTAAGCCGTCTTGGCCCCACGTGGCTGTGTGACACGTGCGTTGTTACCTGGCCGTGTCCCCCCGCAGGTGCGTGATGCCGTGCGTGCGGACCTGTCTCATCTGCATGCCCAACGTGAGAACCCTTTGGGCGTCGGTGGTGAACACGCTGGTGATGCCGCTGTGCGACAGCGCGGGCCGCTGCTTCAGCTCCGTCTACGTGCACGTGGCTCGTGAATGACACCACCACGACAACAACGACAACGACAACAACGACAGCAACCGACCACAGCGAGCAACAACCAACGACGAAATTTCTACGTTGTGTCCCGACTTGTAGTGTAATAGTGTTGCTGAACAGTCAGACCCCCCCCACCCACCACCTCGCCCCTCCCCCCCCCCTCTTATACAACAAAGGATATTATTATGATTATTATTATTTCCCAAGTTCTTATAGAGTCAAGTCAAGAAAATGTTGGTGACGATTTGTCACGTTTCTATCTCAATCAGTTGAAGCATCCCGTACATCACGTGACTTATGCGTGGCCACCCCACCCTGCATCCCTCCCATCTATAGGTATCTACCTCTATATCCAAATCAGCTCAAGCCTCCCGTACATCACGTGACTTCTGTGTGGCCACCTCCATTCTGAATCCCTTTTTACTCTCATCTATATGTAATGCGGGCGTAAATGGGCGGGGCGGATATGACGATCCGAGAGGGAGGAGTCAGGGTGACGTGGGGGAGAAGTTATAGCGGGGAGACAGGAAGCTATCTGGGGTCAGTCGGGGGAGTGAAGGGTGGTGAACACGTTGGGTGGTCGCCGTGCCTCAGCCTGGTGGCTGAGGGGCTCATGACGGCGCCAGCCAGCGGGGTGGAAGAGGGAGTGGAGGATTGAGGTAGGAAATGGCGAGATAGCCATAGAGGCCACGAAGGGCTGACATTGGGAGGTGGCGAGATCGCCACGCACGGAGGAACAGGGAGCAGAGATGGAGCTGCTGGGGGAGCAGCCAGAGGGCTGTACCAAGAGCCTGCAGCGGAGCTGCAGGAGCGTGGAAGGCTACGGGAGCGAAGGCAGATGTGGGGCTGCCAGGGAGAGAGTCTCAGGAGGAGTGCCGTGTGGGAAGGAGAACGCGAACCCCAAATAAAGGACACGGAGTCAGCAAGAAGTGTCTGAGTCCTTTTTATTACATATATACAGTTTCTCTACCTCTATATCTATATATCTAAATCAGCTCAAGCCTCACGAAAATTACGTGGCCTCTGTGTGACCACCCCCACTCTGAAACCTTCCCCTCGCCATCCATAGGCATCTACCTCTGGATCTATATCTAAATCAGCTCAAGCCTCCCGTACATCACGTGGCTTCCGCGTGGCCACGCCCACTTTGAACCCCTCCGCACTCCCAGTCGCCCGCTGTGAAAACAGACGCTGCTCCTCCTCTTCCTCCATGCAGCAGCAGCAGCAGCGTCGAGGGCCTGATTCAGCCTCCTCCTCCTCCCCCTCCTCATCTCTCCTCACTCTCTGCTCCCCTTTCTCCGTTCCTTTCCCATCCTCTTTTTCTTACGTCCGATTTCTTCTTTTCTCTCTTCTCTCTTCCGTTCCTTTCTCCTTTTCCCCCACGCATTGCATCCCCGACTCTGCTCCCCTTCCCGCGGTGTGGCCACGGGCTAAAACTGCCGCTATTTCGTAGCAATCACGCGACGGGCGAGTTCTCTCGCATGCACAGGTGGCGAGAGGTAGAGCAGAACGCATCGTGAGTGACAAGTTGTCGGCAAGCAGACAACGTGCGTCTCTCCATGTATCTGTCTCTCTCCCACGGCTTTCTAGGGAGAGCATCACTTCAGCAGCATTGATGCAATTCAAGCAGAATGAGGCTTTGCTCGAATCAAGTCCTGCCCCCCGGCACCTCCAATTAGCACGGTTGGCTACGTACGGTGCGAAAAAAGTTATTCAACATACACACGGGCAATTCCCTTCCACAACGACTCAAGTTATTATTTAGTAGAATGCATGACAGGCTGTTTAGCGTTTATCAGTTGTTGAAAGTTGGTTTAACATTGACCGTGTCGTAACCCCCCCCCCCCCCGCCGCCCTCTAAGTTTAATATCGCCTCCGCCCCCACCCCTCGCACCCCCACCTTGAACCAAGGCCACGCTGCACTGCGGTATTCTTCGTTGCAAGACCCGCGAGCGACTGGCGGCCTCTGATGGCCTTTAGTGCGGCCCCTGTCGCACCCCCATCGCGCGCTCAAACCCCATTGGCTTCAAATGTGTGGCGGCCCTCACATTGATGATGTCTTATCGGCCAAAGTCTCCCACCCCCCCGCTCCACACCATCTGTGAACATTATTGTAGAACACCGGTGTATCTAACGCACGCGACGTATCACGGGAGGTAGACGGAGGATATCTCGCAGTGGCAGAAAATGGGGAGAATTCAAGTGCTGTACTGTGCATGTAAAGGCACCGTCGTCTCGAGTTTGTATGTTCGTTGAACTTATTTCGCACCGTACGTAGCCAACCGTGCTCATCGGAGCTACGGCGGAAAGGACAGCAACACTAAACACAAACATCAGTTCTGAACAAATGCGTTTTCAATCGAGATGTACTATTTACGCAGCTGACACATCAGGCAGGGCTTTATTGGAGACCCGGGGACGACTTAACAGATTTCCCAGGACGGCAGCTATCTCTACACCTCCCTTGTGGGTAGTGAATTGATTAATAATGACGACAGAACAAGGGGATGTTCTGGGGGGAAAAACGGGGCAGGTGGCAGCCAGAAGCGTGTCATGTAGGTGTCCCTTGAAACAATAAATGAAGACAGGCGACTGCTACTACTTGTACTTAAACACTCGGGGTTGGAATGAAAGATGCATCGTTGTAGCGATTCAGATACATTTTTAAGTATCATGATATACGCACAGAGTGGCCAAAAAATTCAGGACACATAGGGTTAATATATTCATTTTAACAAACCACGTGGGGTTATTTAATTTTTATTACCAAATGTACAAACTGACTGCCATTCACATTAATGCAAACATGAAATTATCTTTTTCAATTAATTTAGGACTTTTTAAAAGAGTAAAGCTGCCTTCTTTAGCATACATAAAAAAAGAACAATTGAAACTCGTTCGTCTCTCGTCAATTTACTTTCCACTTTTAAAAGTGCCATCTGAAAAACATCATGAGAAATAGATATTAATAATTATCATCATATATCAAAGGTGAACTTAAAAAATAAATAAAAATAAAAAATGTATGCCAGTGTTATGAATAAATGCAATAACCCTATGTGTCCTGACTTTTTGGCAACCCTGTCCCTGTACATATCCATCGAGTATTGTGTGTGTGTGTGAGATGAGCATTGCTGGTTCATACAAGCTATGCGCGAAGGGCAAGCTCACGTTATCATGTGTGGGCTAATGGAGGGAATGTAAAGTGTCCAAATGAGACAGAGAAGAAGGATGACAGTTCCGGACTATGGAAGGATGCACGGGTGAACTGGCGAACTCCGCCACGTGGTAGGGTCATAGGTCAGTTGTCTGGAGGTAAGAGTGCAGGCTGTGTGTGTACGGGTAAACGTAGAGCGTCGTTGTGAAGGGTACAGGTACGTTGCACGTGAATCTCAAGTTGAGTTGATAGCCTCACGCCGATAACCCGACACAACTCGTGGCGTGAAAGTAGTTTACGTTGCTTCAATTTAACACGCCCAGGCTTTCGCGACCGATATAGTAATTGTATGACTGATTTTTGTGTCAGGTCGCGGCGTAGGTAAAATGTGTGTCATACACCCTCCTCCACCCGACACGGCCAATCAATGAAGTTGGATTGCTCTCCCAACACACACAGACCGGTGGTGGTGCTGCTGCTGCTGAAGCAGTAACTAGACTGGCACGTTTGTTCATAACGTGACAACTTTGTTAAACTTGCTGCGGTCGGGTGGAGGAGAGTGTACGACACATTTTAATGACGGTGGATTTTTTTGTTTTCACTTAATTTGGCGAAACTTCCAGGTCTGATAATTTTGAAAATATCGGTTTTACTGCCGCGTGATTGAACACTTCTTCTTTCTCTGCAGCACAGGAACGTGTGCAGAAAGTGGCAGCGCCAGAAGGAAAGAAAAGTCACGCAAAACGATCTCAGACGTAGTTCTGCGATGCCTCATTCCACGAGGCAGTTCTGTGACACACGGGGTAATGCACTGCTCTCTCTCTCTCTCTGACGATTCTGAACGGACATGTTTTCGTCTCAGACAGACAACGGCCTCTAGGACACGCGGAATAAAAAATATGGGAAGATACAATTAAAATATTCAATCTGATTTAAAACGAAGTGACGAATTACAGTTCACAAATGTCATTTCAACTGCTTCATGGGGAAGCCGACTTTGTCACTGAGTGGCCACGCTGCGCCCAACGTGATTAAACGTGTTTGGCGACCAGGGAAATGGCACGATAATAATTCCCACTGTTAGCGTCGTATAAAAACAAAAACGTCAAAATTGTATTTACCCCCCGGCGTGACAACTCGATTTGATTTGCTCTGTCGGGTGGCGGAGGGCACAGCTGAACATTGGCATTGTACTCATCATCATTAAGTACGACGACGCCTGTCCCTAGCTTAAGAAACAAATATTCGCACGAAACCACTGGGCCACCCATGCCCATATGACACAGGTTTACGAGTAATCGCGTCTGTATTTATAATGTAAGGCCAGACGGTGGGAGTCTCTGAGAGGTAACCTTGGCGAGGGATATGGTGGTATTCTGGATTCTGTGAGAGCGTAACTTTTTGGGGAGGCGGGGGAGGGGGGAGTGGGGTCGTGAATCTGGTGTCATCTTTACAAAATGCAACGGGATCTGGCAGAAGGAAGGAAGCGATGAAAGAGGGTGTGGTGGCACCGACAACATTGGCCACGATGACCCCTTGGTCCTGTTCCACCAGCAGAATGAATATTCGTTGGTCCCCATTGAACATTGGATGCCACTTATTTTATATGTGACCCCCCAAGTTGGGAGCTCGAGGTTAAGGGTTAGGTGGTATCGAGTGTGCAGGCAGTGCAACTGCAACAGGGCCCACGGGACGGAGGGGTCCAGGTGCCAGGCTAGGTGGATATGAAGAGGGTTGGGGACATTAGAGAAGGTGGCCACACTCCATTTATTGCACCGGGGCATATGTCACACTTATACCACTGGGAGAGGGTTATGACCCGACATTTGGTTAAGACAAAATAGGACCAAACAGATCATATGAAGAGGTCAAAAGATGAAGGCTTTAGTTGAAATACACTGATAAAGACTGGTTTATATGTTGATAAAAAATAGACTGTCTAAATTTCCAATATGGGTTCCTAGGAGGAGCGAATATTCGTTCCTGGTGGAACATTTACGGTAAGTCCTCACTTAACGCGCGGTGTTCATGCAGCGCATCTTCGCTACGACGTGGTTCTTCCATTGGGGAACACTTTTCGCACAACACGGAACGCGCCCGTTATAACGCAGAACGCGCACCATTACAACACGGAACGCGCCCGTTATAACGCGGAACGTGCCCGTTATAACGCGGTTTACAAGCGATCAACAACGAACCACTTTCTTGAGCTGCGTGGCGCAGCGGTACAGTGATACAGTACGCGGAGTGATACAGTCGTTTGTCCGGCCGTC